ATTCAACCCGTTTGAGTCCGTGAATGTACACGATTCAACCCGTTTGAGTCCGTGAATGTTCATAATTCAACCCGTTTGAGTCCGTGAATGTACACGATTCAACCCGTTTGAGTCCGTGAATGTTCATAATTCAACCCGTTTGAGTCCGTGAATGTACACGATTCAACCCGTTTGAGTCCGTGAATGTACACGATTCAACCCGTTTGAGTCCGTGAATGTACATGACTCAACCGGTTTGAGTCCGTGAATGTACACGATTCAACCCGTTTGAGTCCGTGAATGTACATGATTCAACCTCTCATAATGAAAGGGGTTTGAGAGTACGTTCATGAATAGTTAATCTGGCGTTACTTTAATCAAACCTTGGGTGTCCGTTATGATGAAGTCACTTGCGTATCAGAACTGACACTAGCATGTTTACACAGAAGATTAGATTACACTAAATCTAACATTGAAAGTGGTATACTTGTGTATTTTAATTAATATTAAATCAAATAAGTTGCATACAAACTGTATAAATATTTTAAAATGATAGGAAAAATATCTTTAAGTCTGTGATCGTACTATAGGCTGTTGAGATCTCTATCGTTGTACCATAAACATTAGGTTCTAAACGTTTTACTGTAAACATTAGGTTCTAAACGATGCCCTGTTAACATTAGGTTCTAAACGCTGCCCTGTTAACACTAGACTAAACGTTTTACTGTAAACATTAGGTTCTAAACGTTTTACTGTTGACTTTGTTCAGATAGCTTGAATACCTTGGTGAGAGGATGGTGTGGGTGAGTGGGAATTTAGACGAAGGAGTTGATAACTGCGTGGGTTGAAAATTGAGAGGGTGGTTAATGTAGATCTTATTAAAACCACTTGAAAGTGCAGAGGATTAGAGAAAAGCTGGTCGTTTCAAATTGCAGGAAGTAAACCTCAGTTTACAGCATTACATAATGCACCAGGCTTTTTTTTTTATTACACAAGAAAGCACGATACTGCTAGACAAGATATGCAGATCAAAAGTTTGATAAAAGAAGGCTTAGCATTCAACAGCAGTGTAGCCGTTTACTGAGGATGGAATGAAGTGTTAATACTCAAAGTATTTTAAGTGGTTAATTTTTAGACATAAAAAAACTTGGTTTTATTTCAAGGTTGGTGTAAAAGTATTCTACTCTCGAAAGTCTCGCACGTTTCAACGCAAATAAAGAAAAATATTTATACCAAATCCGACATTTTTTCCACAAAATAGGGTCTTTGCTGAGCAATCGATCACAGAGCCATCTGTACAGTGGTGAGTTAAGCATACATACGATTTCCCCATCATATCCGGCCTCACAAGGTTACACACCCCATTCTGAAAGTCCTGGATCTGCTAAGTTACTACATACTTCAATATTTAATTATTTGACGTTAAAATTGTTGATTTTCAAGTTTATAAACATTTTGTGCATCAGTAGAAAAACCGGATATAAAAGTATGTGCATAAAGTAGAATTCACAATCAATACATTTGTATATGAAACCGATAAACGGTTTCAAATATATATCCTAAGTAAATATTTCACATAGGGAAAACTGCAAAAAATAAAATGGTTATTTTCTAAAAGATTAAATTAAAAGTGGAGCTTCATTTTCAAATGTTTTGTGCATTACCATGGAAACGGTAGTAGTAGATTCCATGTCTTCAATCCATAACTCGTGTCTATATAAAGACATGCGAGTTCAGCACGTGACCTAACTTAATATTTTAACCAGATAAATACGTTTCATGATCGAGTCTGTTATTTTTAAGCCGCACCTTCGTAAAACACGAAGTTTGAAATTTGTAGCATTGAAGGTCGTTTGTCACTTGCAAGGTTTTATAATAAAAACGTCAATATAAAGTTGATATTTAACGTCCTTTTATACTAAGCTACGGATTGAAACTTTATTGATGAAAAAGATTTTAAGTGATCAATCATATTTTTCTGTGATGTCTCGATCTAAAGAAAACTACACAGTTTGACATAAATTCTCAATATTCTTTCAATTTGTTCCATTAATATTTTTAAACATAGGTTATTCTATCTGCCAGTAGGCGATTACGTAATTATGAAAAGATACAAGCTTTACGAGAATATATACATATTATTTTGGACCATAGATGGTCCACGATACAGACAAAAACAAAATTAAAAGATAAAAATATGTCGACATTCTCGACGTCATTATAAAATTAAATGGCAGCAGTTGGATTGAAAATTTTTTGGTTTTAAAAAATAATTCTAGGACGAAATGATCACATTTGTTCTAACTTTGAAGGAAGATCGAAACTGTTATAAAAATTAAAATTTACCAAAGAAATGTATTCTCGATTTTATTGATTTCATAATAAAAATTATTTAAAAAAAAATCTTCATAATTTTAATTTGGTGAGTACATAGAAAAACAAACAAAGTCAAGCCTAAAAGAAAGAACGACGAAAACAGCCTCCACGTTGGTAAGGCCGGGGAGTTATAACGCTAAAATTCAGAGCACAGGTAGACTATTGTGTAGCTTTGTACAAAGAGTCATCAAAGCTGTTATGAGCATCTATAGAAGAAAAAAAAACCGTTATAGGAACACGGTACATAAAAAAAGAATCTGAAGTCAATAAATTTGTTTATGAAATAGTTATTTTAACGTTATAAGCCCTCGGACTAATATGGTTATAATGCGAAATGACGGGTTTAATCAACAGGTAAAAAAAAAGCAATACTGAGAAATTTCAACCCTCGTCGACAGTAGAGAAATGAAACTGAGTGGTGCTTTTAATTTATTTTCTTTATGGATTTTAGTTTACATATCTGTAATTGTGAAAAAGCCATTAAGTCTATTTAGGTTTCCAGCTAGATTTGGAACTTGTAAGATCTCATAGTCCTATGTTTGTGTAAAATATACTACAGAACAAATCATAGCTGAGAAGTTAGACGGCTTATATATATATATATATATATATATATATTAATACAACAATATATATGTGTAACAATAATTAATTCCTGCTTTTGTACAGAAACTTTAATTTGTTTTTACAATGAACTTAATATATTTGTATCGCAATAACTCGTTTCTGGGGAATATCGACGTTATTGAAAAAACACTTAAAATCCTATGATTCAAAGCTCGGGCATACTATTACTTAAGCCACGCCTGTATCCTACTGGTCTGTAACTTGAAGTATTTATTATATAGTTTGAAACTCGGAATGTACGAGAAACCAGTGGTGATTCTTTCTTACATTGAATATCGTTGTGTCTTTGATTGTTTTTTGTTTGTTTGTTTGCTTGCTGTTAAGCACAAAGTTACACAATGGGCTGTGTGCACGTGCGATGCACGCATGCGCATCTTTTTAATGAGGCAAACTAGCGAATAACCACATAGAAAAAAAGTGGTTCCTTATATTACAAATAAAAATCACGCACAGACACGCACGTTTGTGCGTACCTCTGTATATGTGACCGCCATACCTAAAAGAGGAAAGAACCTAGAAACCCGAAATTTTGCACCCATACTAAGTGAAAAAACACGATTATTAAAGCCAAAATTTTTGCCTTATAATAAGCCCTACAATTTACTGCTGAGACACCAGGGGGATTATGAGACACCGGGGGGGGGGGGGACAATGATCTTAAAATATTTTTCAAACTATTACTCTCTTGATTTAGATACCAGATGTTTTACTAAATATATCAATATATTTGTGTACTCATTCAGAAAAACAACTAACTTAACAGAAGTATCGGGTGGTAGTGAGCATCTATTGGACAAGTCTACAAATTTTGCTCTGTAGGAGATAATTATAAGAAATCAGGCCTTCATCTTTTTATACACCTGATAAATACAAGTAAACAACATATATTGCTTAAGTCCACGCGAGTCTTCTCTCGTTTTCAGTTCCGCATAAACTTATAATTTCGACAAAGAAAACAAAATGGAAAGTTGGGGAAAAAAAGAAGTAGAAGCACTGTACTAGCCTCTTGATTATAATGAGTCTGAA